CCGCCCGCCGTGCTGCGCTGCCTGCGCGCCGAGCGCTTCTCCGTGGGCGGCGCCGCCTTCCCGGCCGACTTCTGCGAGGGCACCTTGCCCTACTCGTACAACCTGTGCGTGGCGCCGGCACGCGCCGTGGCCGAGTGCGCTTTGGTGCCGGCGCCGCTGCCCAGCCGCGCCGTCGACGATCTTCTCAGCGGGGACGCGCCCGCCATGCTCACGCCCGGCAGCAGCTGTGCCCCAGCAGAGCGGTCCTCGGATCTCGACGCCGTGCAGGTATCTGAGACGAGTCCAATCCTCTTCTTGGTGCTTTCCATGTCCTTTTATGACCTTTTTTTCGGTTTTTCGGGTTTTTGTTTTTATTGTTTTTGATAGTTAGCCACTTCATACATTGTGCTTCGATGGAGTATCTACAAATAAATAGGGAGTGCATCCCTGTGAATGGGGCAACAAATCTGTATCTCTAGTCGTGAACAGGGATTAACTTTCCAGTAAAGAAATACTTTGCAGTTGCCTTCTTCCCAAGAAATGTGAGTGAAGAAAAGAATGTTCTTGGGTGAAAGAACGTTTGTTTCTGTAGAAACATCATTTTGTTTTATTTTCTTTGTTCAACCATTTCTTGTATTTTTTTCCATCCATATATTGGTTGTGCTGGTTGCCACTGTGTCTTTCGTGGTGGGATGGTATAGCTAATATTTCCTATGGTTTCTGACAGTAATTACCTGTAATTGTTAGCCGCTGTTTGCTTCTGTGGCAAATGTAAATCTACTTTTGCCGCATACGAATCCTTCTAGTATGGCAGACCAGAATGTGGTTTCATTGAACACTTTTACCTCCCCATAGTAACTAGAATATCACAGAGGAAAATATTATAGACGCTTTTTCTTTTGGTGGGGGGAGGGTAGTAGTACAGAAAACGAAAATATTATTTTAGAAAAATACTAACGTTGATAGAAGTGCTGTTGCATTAGTAGCATATTTGTATAGATTGGTATTATTATTTTTTAAATCCTACTTAAATGTCTTTGTCTAACGATACATGTCCTCTTCCACTGTTTTTTTTTTCCAAAAAATTACACACAAAATCCTTTTTCCGTCCTTGCCAAGAGAAACCATCTTAGTCAGTGTTGTACCTTTGGAGATGGAGGCATTTGACTGGTTCTATTGATTTCTGTTCGCTCTCTTCAAAAATGCAGATTTGTTTAAAGCAAATTAACACAATGAATTACAGAAAATTAACGTTTAGAAATATGTAATTAATAATGTCAGTATGAGTTACTTCCGCTTTAGGAACTGAATACTATAAAATCTCGAAATTATATCATTAAGAGATGATGGAAAGTAGTTGTCATTTTACARTTTTCCAGTGAAATTTGTAACATGCATGTCTGCTACCGCAATGAATGACCTGGATATTTGAACACCCAGTCATGGCAGCCTTRTAGTCCATAAGATATCGCGTAACACATACTTCGAACAGTATTGCTTTTTCCAAATTCTAATGAGTTATTAATGTGAGACTGGTGGTAGACCTGTGTCGGGKCTGTATGTCTGTAAGCGTCTCAAACCTCTCAGTTTTTGTGTAATGTCGCTGCATTTCTTCTTTGGTTTGCATTTGTCTGTTGTGACGGGAGTGTACGRTATCTTTGCCGTTAAAGGAAGAAATATTTTCCCACTTTGTCTAAAAGAGGAAAGTGAACGAAGGTACCTTTCGCATCATCAGAAATAACACGTCTATGTCCAACTGAAAGTTTCTGACCTTGATATTTAGCCCATTCTTTATAGCAAACGATAGTAACTGTGAATATGTTTCCTCATTACGTGTAATGAATCCTACTGATTCTGCACTCGCTGACAATCTCGGTTCCCGCAGCCGCTCTGATTGCTTTCCCCTACCGTCATATCCTTTTTTTCTTTTCCCTGAACTCCTCCCTTTAGTTCTTCGTCCCTGTAGGAAAATTCTTAGAAGGAAATTCTAATTGTGTGCTTCTGTCGTTTTCCGCCTGCGTTTATCCGAATTTTCTGTTCTCTGTTAATGGATTCGTGACAGTTCTAAATCTTTAACGGGCCCCGATTAGCACCAGTGAACAACGGGCCCTCTGAAACAGCGATTTCGTGTATCCAGGATGCAGTCACTCCGTTCAGTTTTCTGGGCACTGAGAAGGGAATGGGCTGAATGCACGTGGGTTTCACACATGCATTTGCATACTACATTAAGATGCCTAGCATATATCCCTAAATATTCCTTTTTATATTTATTCCTTTCCATGCGGTAGAGAAGATGTATAGAACACCTCCATAGAAAGGCTTGCCTCCGTTCTTTAGGAGCTTTTTCTCCATTCTTGYTAAAAAGTTGAAAGATTTTAGCATTTTCCAATGAGGTACAGAATACTTCACTGGAAAAACAGGTACAGAAAATATGGAAATAGTAAGTTTTCAAGCCTGACTTTTAATCCCTGTATGGTACAGGGCAGAAAATTACAGAGACCGATCAGCCGTGGAGAAAATTCTGATTGCAGTTCCATTCGAAGGCTGYGGGYGCCGCTGCTCACCAAGGAGGAGAGAGCGGAGCGCTGCAGCAGCCCCGCCCGCCGCAGCCCGTGTCGCTCGGGCACCACAGTCCCCGGCTTGCTCGCTGCCTGGGCGGGCTCGGAGCGRCCGGACGGTGCTGCTGTGCGGCAGGGAGGCGGTGCGGAAAGGGCAGGAGCGGGGAGCGAGAGCGGCGCGGAGGAACCGGCGGGATTGCGGCGCCGGCGGAGCTGCAGCAGAGATGAGAGCGCTGCTGTGGTGCGCCTTGGTTGCGATATGGGAGGTGACGTGGGGGCAGCTGCGCTACTCGGTGCTGGAGGAGATGCAGAAGGGCTCCTTCGTGGGCGACGTGGCCAAGGACCTGGGGCTGGAGCTCTCGGCGCTTCGCAACCGGAGCGTACGCATACTTTCAGAAGGTAGGAAGCAATATTTTTCTCTTCACGAAAAGACCGGCCATTTAGTGACGGTGGAACGGATAGATAGGGAGCGGGTCTGCGAGAGGATGCAGATGTGTCTGATAAATCTAGAAATCTTGGTAGAATCCTATATGAAGATCTTCAAAGTGGAGATAGAAATCACTGACCTGAATGACAATGCTCCCAAGTTTCACCAAGATAAACTGCAGTTTCGAATCAGTGAAACAGCAGCTGTGGGAATGCGGTTCCCGCTGGAAGAAGCACAAGACGAGGACGTGGGGCTGAATGCACTGCAACGCTACGAGCTGAGCGGAGACGAGCATTTCGCTCTAGATGTGCAGACGGGACCGGACGGCTCGAAGAACGCGGAGTTAGTGCTGACGAAGGCACTGGACCGCGAGGAAGCCGCCTTGCATGAGTTGGTGTTGACGGCGGTGGACGGCGGGAATCCAGCGCGGACAGGCACGGCGTGGATCCGCGTGGTCGTGTTGGACGCGAATGACAACGCGCCGGTTTTCAGCCAGGCGGTGTACACGGTGCACGTGCGGGAAGACGTGCCCATTGGGTCGCGGCTGCTCACCGTGAACGCGACGGATGCAGACGAGGACACAAACGCGGAAGTGACTTATTCCTTGCGCAGAATGCCTGGTGGAGCGTCGCGCCTCTTCCAGGTGAATCCACGAACTGGAGACATTACTACGGCAGGAACATTGGACTATGAGGAAGTGTCTCTCTATGAGCTGGAGGTGCAGGCGAAGGATGGCGGGGACCTATTAGCGAGAGCAAAGGTCCTGGTGAACCTGATGGACGTCAATGACAACGTACCTGAAATCATCGTGACGTCCGTCGTGAGTTCTGTTTTCGAGGACAGCCCCTCGGGGACTATAATCGCTTTGTTAAAAGTTAAAGACGAAGATTCAGGGGCGGGTGGGAAAGTGACGATGTCCCTCCCCGACACACTGCCCTTCCGCTTGCACAAATCCTTCGAGGACTATTACAGAGTGGAGACGTCGAGGGAGTTGGACCGCGAGGCGGTGTCGGAGTACAACGTGACGGTGCGGGCGACGGACGGCGGGTCGCCGGCGCTGTGGAGCAGCGCGGTGCTGCCGCTGCGCGTGCTGGACGTGAACGACAACGCGCCGGTGTTCGCGGAGGCGCGCTACAGCGCCCGTGTGCCCGAGAACAACGCCAAGGGCGCGCTGGTGCTGCGGGTGCGCG